ATAACCCCGTCTCTAGTAAAATTCAAAAATTAGCCAGGCCCTGGTGGCGGGTGCCCGTAGTCCCAGCTACTTGGGAGGCCGAGGCAGGAGAATGGCATGAACCCTGGAGGCAGAGCTCTTGCAGTGAGCCAAGATCGTGCCACTGCACTCCAGCCTGGGCAACAGAGCCAGACTCCGTCTAAAAAAAAAAAAAAAAAAAAAAAAAAAAATAGAATGGCTGGGCGCTGTGGCTCATGGCCAGTAAACTGGCACTTTGGGAGGCCAAGGTGGGTGGATTACCTAGGTTAAGTGGTTTGAGACCAGCCTGGCCAACATAGTCAAACCCCGTCCTCCTACTAAAATAGAAAAATTGAGGCAGGTGTGGTGGCACATTAACTGTAATCCCAGTACTCGGGAGGCTGAGGCATATAGATCGTTTGAACCCGGGAGTCATTTTCATTTGAATTTAAAATTGTGTTTTTTGAATATATAATATTTTTATTGGGTTCAAAATTCAAAAAGTGCTTTTAGTGAGAAAGATACCCTCCAAATCCTGTCCTTCAGCTATACAGTATCATTTCTTGTAGGAAATCTGTTTCTAATTTCTTCTGTACCCTTAATTCTCAGATAAATAAATATACACAATTTATTTTCTTTTTTTCTATAAAGATGGCATCATACAATATACTCTTAGCACCTTGAGTTTTTTTTAACTTAATAATATATCTTGGTTTAGGGCAGTGGTGTGATCCCCAGCACCTTTGGGGAGCCGAAGGAGGGTGGATTCACTTGAGTGCAGGAGTTTTTGAATCACCTGGCCCCCAACATAGTGACAACCCCCCTCTCTACTACAAAAATAAAAAATTAACTGGGCATGGATGGTGGGCACGCCTCGTAAATCCCCAGTTACTTGGGAGGCTGAAAACAGGAGACAATCGCTTGAACCGGAGACAGAGGTTGCAGTAAGCCTTGAGATTGCAGCCGGGATGGTCCTCGATCTCCTGACCTCGTGATCACCCAACCTTCAGGGCCCTCCCCAAAAATAGTGCTTGTGATTACAAGGTTCCTAAGCACCCCGCGCCCAGCCGCGCCCAGCCATTCTTATGCCTAGCTATTGGGTAGAATTGTGCCTTCACTCCTCTATAGGTTTTTGTGTTTGTTTTATTTTTGTTTTTTTGAGACAGGGTCTCCCTCTATCACCTAGGCTGGAGTGCACGCGGTGGCGGAGCTCCAACTACACTGCAACCTCCGCCTCCCCTGCTCAAGCGATCCTCACCCAACCCCGCCTCCCAGCACCTGCCGATGACAGTTGGCCTCGCCGTGAAACCTGGGCTGATTTTTTTGTATTTTTGGGAGAAACGGGGTTTCGCCAAGTTGTCTGTGCTGGTTTTAAACTCCTGAGCCCCCCTTGGCCTCCCAAAGTGCTGGAATTACAATCAGGCTGCACTCCGGCCTGACTGACTAGAGCAAATCTGTCTCAAAACAAGAACAAAATCCAGATATTTTAAATTTTTGTCAGTCTGATAGATGAAAAATGTTTCTTAGTGATGTTTAAAATTGCATTTATCTTATTCCAAGTGGTACTGAATATCTCCTTGTTGGATTCTCATATGTCTTTCCCAATGCCTTTTCATTCATATGTATAAAGACAATTGATACTGTACTTTCCGTGACCTGTCTATTTAGGCTGTTGTCCATTAGGTTGTTATTGATTTGTAGCACCTCTTGATATATTATGAAAATTAGTGCTTTGTTTGTCAAATGAGCCACAAATACTTCTTTCCAGTGTGTCCTTTGTTTTTTACATTGTTTTGGTGGAATTTGCCATGTAGAGTTTTTAATATCTATGAGATGAATTCATGAATCTTTTTATATTTATTGTCTCTGGATTTTGTTTCATTCTTAGAAATGCCCTCCTCATTCTATGATTATAAAATATTTGGTAATGGTTTCCTCTGGTATGGTTTGAGCTTGTTTTTTAACATTTAAATATTTGATATTCTTGAGATGTCTTTTGATTTTGGTTGTTAGGCCTGGTTCACATGGATTTTTAATATTTTATACATATATACTTTTACATCTATTCTTAGTGTTTTATTTTTTTGGAGACAGGGTCTCACTCTGTCACCCAGGTTGGAGTGCAGTGGTGTGATCATAGCTCACAGCAGCCTCAAACTTCTGGGCTCAAGTTATTTTCCCACCTCAGCCTCCCAAGTAGCTGGGACTACAGGTGCACGTAACTTCTCCTGTCTAATTTTTTAATTTATTTCATTTTTGTAGAGAAAAGTTCTCACCATCTTTCCCAGACTGATCTCAATCTCCTAGGCTCAAGTGATCCTTGTTCCTCAGCCTCCCAAAGTGTTGGGATTACATGTGTGAACCACTGAGCCTGGTCTCAAATGCATGTTTAATAGGTGAACCTGTTTATCCCAATGATTACTCAATCATTGAATGAGTAATCCACCTTTTCCACACTAATTTGAATTGTCTCCTTTATCAAATATTAAATTTCTATGCATATATGTGGGTGTTTTTTTGTTTTCTATTCTATTTCATTAATTCGCCTTTCTGTTCATGCATCAGTAAAACACAGCCTTGTATTTACTGAAGTTTTATACTATTTAGTACCTGGTAGAACTAATCCATTTTTGTGTCTGCTTTTTGTATAGCTTGTGGTTTAGGAATCATGGTTCACATGACTTACATGATTTAAAAAATTAAAAGAAGGTTAATATTTGATTGTGCATAAAATTACATAAAATTCAATGTGTGCTTTTAGAGTTTTTTGAGATAGATTGGTACCTATCATTTATTTATGTATTGCTTCTGACCAGTTTTGCACTGCAATTGCTGAGTGACTAGTTTTGACAGAGACTGCATGACACAAAACACAAAATATTTACTCTCCGGCCCTTTATAGAAAAAGTTTGCCTGACAATTGCTCTAAATCACTAGGAAGAGCTAATTTACTTTGAATACATTGTACTACTTGTAAAAAACTTTCCAACAAAATCATTACTTAGGGATATGATTTAGGTGGGGCTGGGTGGCTCATGCATGTAAGCCCAGAACTTTGGGAGGCTCAGGTGGGATGATTGCTTGACCTCAGGATATCAACACCAGCCAGGACTACATGAAGAAACTCCATCTCTGCAAAAACTACAAAAAAGCTAGCTGAGCCTGGTGGAGCATGCCTGTAGTAGTCCCAGCTACTCAGGAGGCTGAGATGGAAGGATCGAATGAGCCTGAGAGGTTAAGGGTACGGTAAGCTGTGTTGGTACCACTGCCCTCCAGCCTGGATGAGTGAAGGAGACTCCGTCTAAAAAAAAAAAAAAAAAAAAAAAAAGGATATGACTTACTTTACATTATTTTTGTTA